CTAAATATAGGCAGAGAACAGTATTTCATGCCTATAATCATAGCACTTTGGGAAGCCAAGGCAGGCAGATTCTTCAAACTCAAGAGTTCGAGACCAGCCTGGGCACCATGGGGAAACCCCATCTCTACAAAAAATACCAAAATTAGCTGGGCATGGTGGCACACATCTGTAGTCCCAGTTACTCAGGAGGCTGAGGAGGGAGGATCGCTTGAACCCAGGAGGTTGAGGTTCAGTGAGCCAACATTGCACCACTGCACTCTAGCATGGGTGACAAAGTGAGACCTTGTCTCACCAAAAAAAAAAACAAAAAAACAAAATACACAGTATATCAGAGGATGGTATATGCATAGGAGTGGTGGCAAGTTAAATAGGGTGGTCACGGGGAAAATTAGCTCAGTGGTTCTCTATGCTCCACATTTGAATTCATAGGGAACTTTTGAGAAGTATTCATGTAAGGGCATTATCCGTATAGATTCTAATTCACTTGTTCAGGCATGATATTAAAAGAGAGTAGCAGTCGAGTTCTTCAACACTGGCTTGATTATAAAGGAAGATACACAGAGGAAAACTAGTTTTAAAAAGATGAAGGCAGCCAGGTGCAGTGGCTCACGCCTGTAATCCCAACACTTTCGGAGGCCGAGGCAGGCGGATCACAAGGTCAGGAGATTGAGACCATCCTGGCTAACTCGGTGAAACTCCGTCTCTACTAAAAATACAAAAAATTAGCCGGGCGTGGTGGCGGACACCTGTAGTCCCAGCTACTCGGGAGGCTGAGGCAGGAGAATGGCGTGAACTTGGGAGGCGAAGCTTGCAGTGAGCCAAGATTATGCCAGTGCACTCCAGCCTGGGGGAGATCATGCCAGTGCACTCCACGCCAGAGACTCAGTCTCAAAAAAAAAAAAAAGAAAAAAAAAATGGTGAGGGCAAGAGATAATTTTCCCAATTGAAAGGTACCAGGAATTGCTCCCAATACAGCACTTAGTGACCAAGCAAAAGAAGGTGTCTGCAAAGTATCAGTCATAGCATTAGACCAGTTCCAATTGGGGCTTATTCTGCCCTAAGGTCTCTAGAGTGTTTAACAGTGTGTTGGCCACACTTCCTGTGTAATCTCCTCCCTTTGAATGTTGGCTGGATCTAGTGACCTGCTCCTAACCTACAAAATATAGGAAATGTGATAGGATATCACTTTCATGATATGTGAGATATGTGTCTGTTGTTTTAAGCTGCCAATTTGGGGGCAATTTCTTATACAACAGATAACTAATATATTTAGGCAGGCCTGATCAACCAGAGAGCAGTGGATCCTATGGCTGGATGGGAGTATAGTTGAGAAAAATACCAGACATCATAGTCATAAATTTGCCAAATCTGAGTTCAGATGCTAATCATGACATCATAGACCCTTTCCGTAAGATTCTCCTATTGAAAGACTTGTGTATAAGCTTGGTGTAAATCTATACATTATCTTTTTGAAAAAAGCCATGACCAATAGATTAAATCTAAAAAGCATTAACAAATGCCTCCTATTTATTTATAGAGGGTATGGTAGGCTAAATAATGACCCCAAAAATAGGTCCACAACCAATCACCAGAACCTGTGAATATGTTACCTTATGTTACCTTAAGTAGTCAAAGGAATTTTGCAAATGGATTTTCACTGAAGATTTTGAGATGGGGAGATTATCTTGTATTATCTAAGTGGGTCCAATGTAATCAAGAGGGTCCTTATAAAAGGAAGGCAGGAGCTTCAGAGTCAGGAGAAGAAAATGTGAGTTTAGAAGCAATAAGTGATGCAAGGAAGGGACTACTAGAAGCTGAAAAAGCCAGGAAAATGAATTATCTCATGATGTCTCCAGAAGATACACAGCCCTGCTAATACTTTTATTGTAGACTTCTGATATCCAAAACGGCAAAAAAAATTTAATTGATGTTGTCTTTGCCAGGGATGGTGGTGTGCACCTATAGTCCTAGCTACTTGGGAGGCTGAAGGGGGGCGATTATTTGAACCCAGGAGTTTGAGGCTGCAATGAGCTATGATTGTGTCACTACAGTCCAGCCTGAGTGATAGTGTGAGATCCTATTTTTAAAAATAAATAAAATAGGCCAGACGCAGTGGCTCACGCCTGTAATCTCAGCACCTTGGGAGGCCGAGGTGGTCGGATCACGAGGTCAGGAGTTCAAGACCAGCCTGGTCAACATAGTGAAACCCCGTCCCTACTAAAAATACAAAAAATTAGCCAGGTGTTGTGGCAGGCGCCTGTAATCCCAGCTACCCAGGAGGCTGAGGCAGGAGAATGGCTTGAACCCGGGAGGCAGAGGTTGCAGTGAGATGAGACTGTGCCATTGCACTCCAGCCTGCGCGACAGAGCGAGACTCTGTCTCAAAAATAAATAAATAAACAAATAACAACAAATAAATTCATATTGTCTTAAACCACCAAATTTCTGGTAAGCAATAGGAAGCTAATAAAGAGTCACTAAGATAGCACCATGAAATAGGGCTAAACAGGCAGAAGGAAGTCTACAGGGCTTTTTTCTGGAACAATTTTTAGAGGCCAGAGGAGTTCACGGAGCTCTACTTTTGCTGTCATTGAGAGCCCTGGAGGATACGTTTTGAACAGTAGAGAGAGTCAACAGAAGGAATTTAGAGTCCCATTGACAGTTGGGTTGCTGTATTTGGAGTCCAGAGTGTTAACCATTATACCACGGTACCTTTGTATAACAAAGGTTCTAGTGAAGACTTGTATACTATTGCATCTGGTCAGTTAATCTTTAAAATGGGCATAGATTCAATGTAAGGAACACTAATAGCTTCGCATGGGGAGAAAAATGCAGGCTTTCAGATGACTTAATTTGTGGTTTACACATTTTCATGCCCAAGTCCAAAGATAGCATGCAGAGCATTCGGAGTGAGCTCTGAAGAAGACAAAAGTCATAGGTGGGTCCTCTGATACATGAACCTTTACTCATCCCAGCAGATGATTAACTTACAGTGATCTAACTGACTTCAGGCTCCAGCAAAGCAAAGCAAAGCTTTCAAAAGAAGAGCTTCTAGGGATACATGAGGGTGATGGGCAGAGGACAACTTTCAGTAGCCAGAGGAAAGAGCAAGAAGCTGGATGTTGCTCCAGAAAACAAGTGCAAGTATGTGAGACTATCTATACATGCCCAAGCGTACTTCTCCATTTGGGTAAACTCAAGAGCAAGGTCACTAAAACTGAGACAGGTCCACTGAAATTTGAAGCCTAGGTGCTAGCCATTAAGTCACTAGGACATTGAAATTGAATCCCTACTGAAAGACTGATATGTACTTTTAACATAACAGTTAACCTTTCAAATAATGTGGGCAATGCATTAGTTTAAGGAGTTTGGGTGGAGCCCCAGCTGAGTAGAGATAGCAGAGGCTCTAAGATGTGTACAACTGTAGCGCTGTGCAGTGCAAACATTTTAAGGACAGTGTTAGTAATTAGAAGCAGATGGAATGCTTTAAACAAGCTCTAGAAAAGGAAGAAACTGAGACTGGGGGCTGTAAAACATGAACTCTTAATCACTGGGGCCAAGATTCTAACTTACCAGAATCTGAGAAACTGGGCAAAAAGGCAAAAAGAGACATCAAGTAAAATAGGAATAGGGCTAAAATTTCAGAGGTCAGTAGACAGAGACAGTTTTCTCCAGGACAGGGTGCCATGTTGATTGGCAGCACTTGCAGCCAAGTGGGTATACCTCGAAGGTGGGTTAATGATTTAAGAGAACCACAGAGGAAAATTGACCAAGATGTTGCTAAAATCCCAAAGAGATTTGGACTCAAATTCCTGGATTCAGAATCCCAAGTGCTAACCCATATACTATGGGACCCTTACATGAGGCGCTTGCTGCTACAATTCTTATGTAAATCCTTGCATTTTGAGGGACCTCCAAAGAAGAAAAGATTCGCAGGAGGGGCCTCTGACACATAAACCATTAAGCACCCTGAGCACGCAAATAACACCCTGGCTGCCTTTGGGAAGTCAGGGAAGAGTGGATGCTAAGAGAAAAGACCAAGAATGTACAAGAACATGATACTAGTCAGAAGCTAGAAATGACAATCGGGAGTTACATGACACTTGCTAATTGGGAGAAGAAACTGCGAATGAGAAGGTAAATCCACAGACCAGAGTGTGTTGGCGATTTAAGAGAAGAACGAAGGATGGGTCACTAAAATTAGGAGAGGTCCCACCGAGATTTGAACTCGGATCGCTGGATTCAAAGTCCAGAGTGCTAACCATTACACCATGGGGCCACCTTCCATTATCAATTTCATGAATATCTATAAATATTGATTACAGAGCATGTCATGTATTCTATACAGTATTCTATTAATATTTATTAAATTAATACTATCTGTATCCCATATAGTAGAGGCTCCAAGAGACTCACATGCACTACAAACATACCTGGACCAAGTCCATCTTAGAAAGTGATAAAACTTGAAGCTGTTTGAGTATTGTTCAAAAAAAGAAAGAACTGAGGTCTGGTAGGTGTAACACGTATCCTTAAACTTGCATATGATAATCTAAATCTGAGGAACTTGCGTCCAACAAGAGAGGAGAGGCAAGAGAGGACAGATGTGAAATTACAGGTGAAAAATTAGAGGATGCTGTTCTGCAGGGAAGCATCGTGCTGCCTACTGGGATGGGATGTTAATGAGCTTAAGTGATCAGGTGCACGCTGTTCTGTGTACAATGTTAATTTGAGAGAAGGAAAGAGCACTAAAAGTGTTAGAGGTCCCACCGAGATTTGAACTCGGATCGCTGGATTCAAAGTCCAGAGTGCTAACCATTACACCATGGGGCCAACGCCACAGTACCATCCTAGCATATTTTTGATAGCATGAATGTAGTACGTGGAATTGATCCATTGAGAGTGCTGTTTACTTTGGCCTCTCAAAATAGGTGCATAGTCCCAGATTCCGAGAAAGCAACAAAACTGCTCCGGCAGGAGGAAAGCAAGAACAGAACTCACCTTTCCCAAAACTTGTTCGGATCTGCCCACGGAGATTATGAATAGGAGCGTTCCTTGATTAATCAGAACCGTGCATTTGCTGAACTTTTAGGTCACGATACGTTTAATCTACTTAAGTTTATAAAAGAAAATATCAACACTCAGACATCTCTTAAAACATCTATGCAACAGTTTTGGAGATTCTCTATCTGGTGTTTCCTCTGCAATTCTGGCCTCTGAAAGTAGGATGATAGGAGGCGAACCAGAAAGGATCTGTTTGAGATATTGATTCCATAAGTTAAAGGCAAGCACGGTTTTGGAAGTCAGACGTGAGCTGAATTTCAGATAGGGAGACAGCATTTCAAGAAGACTTAAAGGCAAAACAACTTGAGCGTTTTTCCATCATTTTTATAGCAGTGTCAGAAATTACTTGTGTTTTCAAGTGCTTGCCCACGTAACACTTTGAAAATCTTTCTCTAAGTCTTGTTATACAAAAGAACTAAAACTATCTGCTTCCACTTTTATGGAGAAAGATAACAGAAAAATAAAAAATACTACTCCATGTTATTCTGTGTGATTGCACAGGTAGTGTACCGCATTTCCTCTACCTGAAAGAAAAAAAAAAAACCACACCGTAGTCGGCAGGATTCGAACCTGCGCGGGGAGACCCCAATGGATTTCAAGTCCATCGCCTTAACCACTCGGCCACGACTACGTGCCTCCTTCAGCACCCTGGATATATTCCCATGAGGAATATATGTTTCTTTTCACAGACATCTTTTAATTCGTTGGACAAGATAACAACTCTGGAAAGTTTCTCTTCCTGGTTAAAAAACAGAATCAAAATTTTAAAGATTTACATATTGGCTAAAAGAGATATTGCAAATTGCAAGACTTGTCTGATGGAGGAAGTACGAAAGACTTTAAGAGGGGGCCACACGCCAACCCCTAAATGGTCTCCAAATCTAAGAGGCTGGCTGAAAGGCTCTCCACACCTAATTAGTAGGATTACAGACATTGAAGACTGCAAATTTGCATTTCCACCAGAATACCTTGTGGATTCTTATACACGGGTCAGGTCCGCTAACGTTTAGCATGCCTCATTTAAAACTCCTATTTTGCAGTGTCCTAGTCTTCAAGTAAAATATACAACGCCACATAGCAGAGGATGGTTTCGATCCATCGACCTCTGGGTTATGGGCCCAGCACGCTTCCGCTGCGCCACTCTGCTGTCACAACAGCACTCCTGTCATGGATATATTAAAGGCTACAATTTCTGGCATCTTCCTAACTTTAAATGACTTCTTGTCCTTTGCCAAATTATCCTGGAGAATGAGAAGTGCACACTGGCCATCCATATGGGGCTGCACGCCACTTCTAAACACCAGCAGTTTAGAATTCTTCCTCGATAAATTCGAATCAGCTAAGGTTGAAGTTCTCCGGAGTTCCGACGGAAGCATGTTTCGAGTTACTGGAAAAATAAGTGCAGGTTAATTGGCATAATTTATAAAGGTGAAATTATAAATGCTTGGGCAAATTTCAGCCATTCCTGGATACCAGAGGGAGTCGTTATTACTTTCAGACATTTTTTACTTGCGATTTTCATCGAAAATGTTCAGTGGAAAAAAAAAAAAACTACAGTTGCATCGAGGGGGAACCGAAACTGAATCTCCCTCTCGGCAGGTGAGAATTCTACCACTCAACTACCGGTGCTAAAAGTAATTGCATGCGTTTGTTTTCTTTTTTATCTATCATATCGTCCTTTAAAAAGTGACAACGTATGTTCTCTGTCTATAATGTTTTAAAAATCCAATCAAATATTATATCTAAATATTCTGAGTAAACCTTTGAACACAGAAGTAAACAGAAAGTCTGCTGATACGTGACCCTTGGAGACTTTCGAAGTGAAAAAGACACTCAAGCCTGTAATCCCAGCATTTTGGGAGGCCGAGGCGGGTGGATAGCTTGAGGTCAGGAGTTCGAGACCAGCCTGCCCAACACGGTGACACCCTGTCTCTATTTAAAATACAAAAATTAGCCGGGCGTGGTGGGTGGCGCGTGCCTGTAATCCCAGCTACTCGGGAGGCTGAAGCACGAGAATCGCTGGAACCCGGAAGGAGGAGGTTGCAGTGAGCGGAGATGGCCCATCAAATGCACTCCAGCCTGGGTGACAAAGGAGAAAGGGGAGGGGAGGGGAGGGGAGAGAGAAAGTTTGAGTTTCGGGAAGGAAATCAAGCTCATCCACTTGGCTGTTGAGTAGAAGCCTCAGTTATGGCCTTTTTTTTTTTTTTTTTTTTGAGACTGAGTCTTGCTCTGTCGCCTGGGTTAGAGTGCAGTGGCACCATCTCGGCTCACTGCAACCTCCACCTCCCAGGTTCAAGTGATTCTCCTGTCTCAGCCTCCCAAGTAGCTAGGATTACAGGTCCATGCCACCATGCCCGGGTAATTTTTATATTTTTAGTAGAAATGGGATTTCACCATGTTGGCCAGGCTGGTCTCGAACTCCTGACCTCAGGCGATGTGACCGGCAAAGTGCAGGAATTGCAGATGTGAGCCACGGTGCCTGGCTGGGAGTTTATTTTTGTAATGGGGTACACGGAAAAGGCTGGGAAATTATGGCCAGGCCAACCCAAAATCACAAAGTTTTCCAGAGCTTATATACCTTCTAAGCTATATGTCTACATGTAAGTGTGCATGCATTTAAAGACATACTCTTGGCATGCATTTAAAGACATACGAAGCTATATGTCTACATGTAAATGTGCATGCGTTTAAAGACACATAGCCTTTGTATAAGGGCACTGGCTTTTTTTTTTTTTCTTTTAATATTTAACTTAACCACTCAGTCAGTGCTGACACTGTTGTCATGGAGGCCTGTGTGTTCAGCCATTAGGGAGACCTGGCCTGCCACTCTATGTCTGCTATGTCAAACGAAAACGATACTCTCCTTGATCAAACTCTAGTCAGGCTCTTCCGTACGTTCTTCTCACCTAAGCCTCAACCTTGACCTTTAAAGACTAAAGACACTAACATGATTTCTAACAGCTCAAGACCACATCCCTAGGATGACCGTAGTCCCCTTTAAAGTGCCTGCTGGAGAAAAATCAAGACTGCCAAAAGAATGTACTGTTTTTCCAAACAACACCTGAAGATAAAGCCCGTCACCCACTTCTGTGGGAAGGTAGGAGCTTAACTTCTGTCAGCACCAGTTAGCAAACGTAGATGGGTTTCATATGAACTAATCTCCTCTTTCTGATTTTTGTAATTTTTCACTCCACTGAGCACTGCTCACCCCCTTTTCTGTTCCTTCATTTTGTCTTTAAAATGCTCAGTCACAGGCTGGGCGCAGTGGCTCATGACTGTAATCCCAGCACGTTGGGAGGCCAAGGCGGGCGGATTACCTGAGGTCAGGAGTTCGAGACCAGCCTAGCCAACATGGTGAAAACCTGTCTGTACTAAAAATACAAAAATTAGCCGGGCGTGGTGGCAGGTGCCTGTAATCCCAGCTACTTAGGAGGCTGAGGCAGGAGAATCCCTTGAACCTGGGAGGTGGAAGTTGCAATGAGCCGAGATTGCACCATTGCACTCCAGCCTGGGCAATAAGAGCAAGATTTCATCTCAAGAAAAAAGAAAAAAAAAATACTCAGTCACTTCTGCACAAATTTAAGTTGAGTTCATTTCATGCTCTACTCTTCTTTATTGGAATATTGTATGGATTAAAATCTGTACTGGGTACAGGGGTCTCAGGATCAAGTGGCATCTCTTGATCTGCTGAAAAGCTAAATCTCAGAAACGTCTCAAATGCCAGGTTTTCATTTTGTTTTTATTTTTTGAGATGCAGTTTCACTCTTGTTGCCCAGGCTGGAGTGCAGTGGCGTGGTGTCAGCGCACTGCAACCTCCGCCTCCTGGGTTCAAATGATTCTCCTGCCTCAGGCCTCCCAAATAGCTGGGATTACAGGCGCCACCACGCCCGGTTAATTTTTTGTATTTTTAGTAGAGACGGGGTTTCATCATGTTGGCCAGATTGGTCTCGAACTCCTGACCTTGGGTGATCCACCCACCTCGGCCTCCCAAAGTGCAGGGATTGTAGGCATAAGCCACAGCTCTTGGCGGGGAAGTTATAAATCTTGCAACCCCCAGTTAGTGACCCTGGGGCAGTAAAAAACTTACAGAAAAACAAGCTAAGCAATGGCAGGTTATTTGTCTATGCCTATGCTTGAGCAAAGTTCAGGACCCTACCATAATTCTTACCTATTCTTGTGAATGCAGCTTCAGTCTCCACAAAAGAAGGTGGAGGCCAGTTTTCCTTGCCTCAAAGTGTATCTGTAAACTGAATTCCTCTTGTAGTTCTCTTGGCCTCTGCCCTAAAATAAGCAAAAAAACAAAACAAACAAACCAAACAATTTAGCTTATGAGGTGTAGAAGCAAGATGGAGTCAGTCATGTTAGATTTCTGTCATTACTTATAATTCTGCCAAGGTGGCATCAGTGTGAGCAAATAAATTTCTGTCATTTAAGCCTCCCAGTATATGGTACTTGTTATGGCAGCCCTAGCAAACCAATACAATTACTAACAGTGAAATCTGGAGCAATAAAATAATTACTGTGCAATAATAGTATAGAACTTTAACAGAACTCTAATTATACACCTTTTAGGAATACAGTAAAATAGAAAATGCTTGTTTCCTTAAAAAAAAAAAAAAAAAAGACAAGTGGACAGGGCGCAGTGGCTCATGCCTGTAATCCCAGCACTTTGGGAGGCCGAGACGGGTGGATCACGAGGTCAGGAATTCGAGACCAGCCTGGCCAACATAGTGAAACCCTATCTCTACTAAAAATACAAAAATTAGCTGGGCATGGTGGTGCATGCCTGTAGTCCCAGCTAGTCGGGAAGCTGAGGCAGGAGGATTGCTTGAACCTGAGAGGCAGAGGTTGCAGGGCGCCAAGATCCCGCCACTGCACCCCAAGCCTGGGCGACAAAAAAAAAAAAAAAAAAAAAAGGTTTATGTCAATATCCTTGGCAAGAGATAATAAATGGAAGCAAATAGGCCACTGTAATAATTGAGAGAAGTGAATAAATGGGATATGAAATATGAGGAGATAAAACTCAGCACAACTTGGGACTCCAAGCGAAGAAGAGGTAATGTCCAGGATGGCTGCAAGTTCCTGACTCCAGGTCGAGTGGGGATGAAACTGAGAAGGCATGAAGTGTTGCAGGCAGATAAGCAAAGGAAGAGTCAGGAAGCAAAGAGGGCAGGGCATGAGCATGGAAAAAGCGCCAACTTTTAGGGGGTTACGTGTAGGAAAAGTTATCTAATGCCAGAAGAGAGCGTTTAATCTCCCTTTGAAGAGGTGGCCAAAGATAGACTGTCCACCAGGTGAATTCATTTTAGAGTCATAACAGCAAGCCAAGGGCGAAAGAGACAGATCTCACTCATCTGTGAATGCAGAAAACAAAACGTGTCCTTTCTGTCAATGTCTTGAGTTCTTTATCTCGAGTTGACTAAGTGTATCTCAGTTCAGATCATTTTGCCCCCTTCCAAAACACAACCACCCCTGACCCCGACGTGATTTGAACACGCAACCTTCTGATCTGGAGTCAGACGCGCTACCGTTGCGCCACGAGGTCACTGGAACATGGGCTTTTCGTTTTCAAGTAAGAATCTAATCTTATCTTCCTCCCAATTTCATTATTTGATTTGATCTCTTTTCACAGTTTCGCTAAGGCTTTGTTGAGAAAAATAAGGGAGTGTCCGGATTAAACATTAACCCCAAACCCAAATAAATGCTCCATATATGAAAAACAGTTGTTTCTCAAGTTCAAGTTTAGATTTGCGGTGAAAGAGTAATAAGAACGGTTATGAAGTTTGTAGTACCACTTTCTGTAAATGCGCTAGACGACTCCCTCTTCAGGAAGAGAATTCCAGGCTTGCACTGCCCCGCAGGACCTGGCCTAGCTAGCACTTACTTCACTCAAACCTATGCGCACACCCGCCCCATCCTCAACCTACTGGGATTCAAAATCCTAACATGAATAATATCTCTTGCCTAAAGGCTCACTTCTCAGTCCAAATCCACGGGCCCTCTGGTCTCTATTGTGTACACGAGCCATTCAGTTCACAAAAATAACCCAAAACAAGCCGCTAACATTTACTGAACTCACCGTTTTCCTCTAGCCTCGTGGATTAACTTCCTCCAGCCTAGCTATTCTCAAAAAGCGCCTCAGGGTCGGAAGCAGCAGGGAAGCTAGGAAAAGCGGAACCTCACGCCTACTGAATCAGAAACTGGGCGTGGGTCCCACCAGTCTGTTTTAACTAGCCTTCCAGGAGTTTGGGATGTAGGAAAAAGTTTGAGAATGACTGTTCCAGCCTAGAAACCCGATATTTTGCTCTTTCAAGAAAATAAGGCCAGGCGCGTTGGCTCTGGGAGGCCGAGGCGGGCGGATCACCTGAGGTCGGGAGTTCAAGACCAGCCTGACCGATATGGAGAACCCCCCCCTCTCTACTAAAAATACAAAATTAGCCGGGCGTGGTGGCGCATGCCTGTAATCCCAGCTACTCGGGAGGCTGAGGCAGGAGAATCGCTTGAACCCAGGAGGCAGGGGTTGCGGTGAGCCGAGATCGTGCCACTCACTGCACTCCAGCCTGGGCAATACGTGCGAAACTCCGTCTCAAAAAAAAAAAAAAAAAAAAATAAGAAGAAGAAAAGAAAAAAAGAAAAGAAACGTCCAGCCTTCTAAGATGGAGGAAGGGCAGTGTATTAGTTAACTGTGCTCCTGTAACAAATACTACAGACTGGGTGGCTTAGACAACAGAAATCACTTTCTCACATTTCTGGACACTAGCAGTCCGAGATCAAAGAACTTACCTGTTTGATTTTTTTTTCTCCCCTGAGGCCTTTTTTGTTGGCTTGCAGGTGACTATCTTCTCCCTCTGCCTTTAAATGATTTTTTCTTTGTGTGTCCGTGTTTTAATCTCTTCCTATAAGGACACCTGCCCTTATGATTAGGGCCCTACTTTCATGATCTCAAATTACCTTAATTACCCCCTTTAAAGACCCTATCTCCAAATACTGTCACATTCTTTTTCCCTTTATTTATTTATTTACTTATTGATAAACATTATTTCATTCTATTTCCCCATTTCGCAGATGAAATACTGTCACATTATGAAGTACTAGAGATTAGGGCTTCAACATATGAACTTGGGGGTTTGGAGGAAGGCTAAATTCAGTTCACACAGGTAGTTTCCAGACGAAGCTGTACTGACAATTTCCGAGCCTGGCATAGGGAAAAGGGATATAAATGGGGACTCCGTGGTGAAAATCTACTGTCTCTTTGCTTTTCCCACTCCTGGTTTAGGATTTAGCTTTCTCAAGGCTCTCAAAATCACCGACTCCTCAATTAGCTTTCCAGATGACAAACTTTTGTTTCTGTTATCTCCTCTCCCTATTTGGATGTATATTTTAGTGTTGTTTGAGTGAGATTTGCGGAGCATGCAGAAGTAAATTCTTGTGTTTAACCCGCAGTCTTTACCTGGAAGCATCGTAAGGCAGTGGTGGTTCCCTGCATGTGGAAAGCAGTCTGGTTCTGCCTTCGCCTCTCCAGCTCTCAACTCAAGCATTCCAAATGCTGGCATTGTCCAGAAAAATCTAACAGGTTTATTTATAATTATTATAAAGTTGAACCGCTGAAACTTGTTCACTGAAACATCTTAACTTGCATTAATGCTGCACGTTTCCGCATTTATATTAAAAATTCACACCCAAATGAAAATGGAAAAACTGCAAATATCTGATTTCTGTCCCCTATTTTTCCACTCGAATCATACACTTAGGTACCTTTTGACCCCATGGGAAAAAAAATAACGTTCAGAACTACCAATAACAGGAAGAAGAGAATTTTTTCTAATGAAATGTTTCCCATCGTGGTGGATTCGTAAGCACGTTCTCCACGTATGCGGCGTGCTAGCTGGATGTCTTTTGGCATAATTGTTACACGTTTGGCATGGATAGCACACAGGTTGGTGTCTTCAAAAAGGCCAACCAGATAGGCCTCACTTGCCTCCTGCAAAGCACCTATAGCTGCTCTCTGGAAGCGCAGATCTGTTTTAAAAGTCCTGAGCAATTTCTCGCACCAGACGCTGGAAGGGAAGTTTGCAAATCATAACTTCACGGAGTGCCACTGTACCAGGCCTGTAGCGATGAGGTTTCTTCACCCCTCCAGTAGTGGGCGCACTCTTGCGAGCGGCTTTTGTAGGCCAGTTGCTTCCTGGGTGCTTTACCACCGGTGGATCTGCCGGTGGATTTGCGGGCAGTCGGCTTTGTACGAGCCATGGTATAGAGACCTCCTTACTTACTCCCCTTCTCCTTTGGCTGGAGCTCGTTGAGCGAGAGGCCGCGCTGAGCTGGCGTTAGAGAGCTACGGCAGCACAGCGGCGGCTGCGAACACAATTGCAGTAATTTTTTTTTTTTTTTTTTTTTAGACAGAGTCGCGCACTGTCGCCCCGGCTGGAGTCTGGAGTGGGCACGATCTCGGATCACTGCAACCTCCGCCTCCGCCTCCGCCTCCGCCTCCTGGGTTTTCAATCCATTCTCCTGGCTCAGCCTCCCCAGTAGCTGGGATTACAGGCGCCCGCCACCACGTCCTGCTAATTTTTGTATTTTTAGAAGAGACGGGGTTTCACAGTGTTGGCCAGGCTGGTCTCGAACTCCCGACCTGGTGATTCGCCTGTCTCGGCCTCACAAAGTGCTGGGATTACACGCGTGAGCTACCGCGTCCGGCCAATTGCGGTACTTGTTTTTTTGTTGTTGTTTGTTTGTTTGTTTGTTTTTTAACCATTAAACTTCGTCTCTCCCCAACCAGGATGTTTTTTTCAGGGGTTGGAAATTCCTTGGTTTACAACAGTGATTTCACTAAGTACATTTACAGCTCATGGGGAGGAGATTATTTTCTGTCAAAAAATTGATGCGCTTCCTAGCCCGAGACCACGTGGCCTAATGGATAAGGCGTCTGACTTCGGATCAGAAGATTGAGGGTTCGAATCCCTCCGTGGTTATTTGGGGGCCTGACTGCTTTGGTGTTATTTTCCGTCCTCAAAGCTGGTAATCAGAAATGTACTCTTTCCACTTACTTCACTAAATTATCGCAATTGTAGATCCCTTCCTACAATCCCTTTGCCTTTGCCCTGTACTTAGCCGCCCCATGTCTGTTTATCCTCTCTCTCTCCACCATAACGCCATACAGTCCATCTTCTGGGCCAGCGCTACTCAAAATTTGGTCCAGTCCCTGAACCAGTAACATCACCTGGGAGCTTCTTAAAAATAACAGCTTTCGAGGTCGACCTCCCTCACTAGTCCGCACTACACTTGACCTACTTAGAATCGCCGTGTGTGGGCCCTAGGATTCTGGGGTTTAACCCAGTGGTTCGGTTGCACGCTCGAGTATGAGAACCATTTATAGACCTTACAGGCTGTAGAATGCACTCTAGACCATAAAGCACAAACACGTCAGACCCAATTACAATTTAGCGCCAACCTACGTGAGTTTCAAGGCTGTTACGACAGGGGTAATGTGAAGCTGCCATGGGAACCTCTTGGAAAGACTGGGGTACGAAGGAAGGCAGAAAAGAGGTCCACACGTTTGACAAAAGTGTCTTCTAACAAATACAGAAGACTGGTAGAATTAGAAGAATCACCATTTGCAAACCTTAGAAAAATAATAGACCAAAGCAACGAATGAGCTTAACGACCTTAAAACCATTAGGAAAAGGTAGTTGGGAAATAAGATATGCTCATGGTGTTAAGGGCCACCCCAACATTACTTGTCAATTGCGAAGGGAGAAATATAGAACCCTGGGGGGCACCACTCGGTCTCCACCATCAGCAGGATATCCCAACAGGTGCCTCCTGATGTGAAGCTAGTACAGTGTAAAGAACAGCGTCTGGGCAAAAATGTTTAACCTAAATCTAATCACTCAAATTAATCACAAGAGCAATCATTTAGATTTATCTTCTAATTTAAAAGGAGCAAAAATAAATTAAAAGATGCCATAAGGAAACAATGAGACAAATCCAGAATGTAGGACATTCTATGAGACAATTAGACCTTTTTTCTTACTTTGTTTTGTTTTGTTTTGAGACAGGGTCTCGCTCTGTCGCCCAGGCTGGAGTGCAGTGGTGAAATCACAGCTCACTGCAGCCTCGATCTCCGGTGCTCAAGTGATCCTCACCTCAGCCTCCCTAGTAGCTGAGACCACAGGCACACACCACCCGGCCTGATTAATTATTTTTCTATTTTTTGTAGAGACCGATCTCCCTGTGTTGCCCAGGCCGGGGGAAGAAAGGGAGGCAGGCAGGAAGGCAGGAAGGCAGGAAGACAGGAAGGAAGAGATTAAAAGATGTCATGAGGAAATAATAAACAGCTGGGAGACTGTTCTAATGTGAAAGAACGTAAGGAAACGTAAAAACTGACTCTAAAAATATATTAGATAAATTCAAATAAATGCTTAGATGTTTTTATTCACTTATTTAGAGTTTCTTTCGGTCGCCCAGGCTGGAATGCAGTGGCGCGATCACTGTAACCTCCTGAGCTCAAGCCATTCTCCCGCCTAAAATTCCGGAGTAGCTGGGATTACAGGAGCGCGCCACCAGGCCAGGCTGATGTTTTAAAATCTGTTTTGTACAGAGGCACAAGAGAAGAGCTTGTTTTGTTACCGGTGCTCCCAAACCCTGGGGTCAAGAAATCCTCCCGCCTCAGCATTCCCAAATGTTACAGGCGTGAGCCACTGCACCCAATCAGATATGAGATATTTTTAAATAATTGCTTGATTTTTTTAAGTTTTGTTAATGATATTGTAGTTAAATAAAAGATGTATGTTTAGGCGACACATGTTTATGGATTTTGTTGTGATATATCATAATGTCTGCAAGTGAATTTCATATGATTCAGCAGAAATAGGTAGATGAGACTAAGATGGCAAAATGTTAATTATTGAATGTGGGTGATGAGTATACAGATAATTGCCTATTCTTTCACATTCTTTATATGTTTGAAAGTTTTTACAATAAAAAATTTAATTTTTCAAGAAGGCTTGACAGAAGCTGTGCTATTTTTAAAAAGGCCATGAAGGATGAGCACTGGGGCTCCAAGCAAACATGGCAGAGGTCAGGGTAAAGAAACCCTCACCATCTGAGATAGGGCTGGTCCTTTCACGTCTCAGTAGTTGCAGGCTCCCTTGACAGAGTGACCAGAAGAGGAGCTGAAAAGGTCGGACAGATGCAGAAGATGAAGGCCTCTCATGTCACCGGCAATCTTCTGGCTAGGCCACAAGGTACCTTAAAGGCATTAAATGAGGTAAGGGACACAGTCAGAAACACATTCTATGTTAGTGCTAATTTAGCTCTACCTACATAATCTGCCCTCAACTACATTACTGGTGTTCTCTCTCATCACTGCCCTTCCCAGTACTCCTCCAAAAAGCAATGTTTCAACTATAGGGAATTTTCTTCAGTTTCTCCCATATTCCATGAGGTTTAGGTTTGGAACACCACCTTACCCCATTTTCTCACCCGACGCCAATTTGTCTCATTTTAACACAACCTTCAGATCCAGATCTGAGCTTAAGTATAATAAATTCCAAAAATACTTATTAGGCACCTATGGAGGACTCAGAGGTAAATAAGGTAAAACTGGAACTTTTCTTCGTGAAGTTTGGAGTGTAATTAAGTGACCCTCCAGGCAACCAACTAAAACCTTTGTGGTTGAGGTTCAGAACTCTTCCTGTGGGCTACTTACTGTGTTCCGGCTGCACTTACTTGCACTCAGTTGTTTCATTGTTAACTTCTGTAATCCTTTAGAAATCTCGCTCTGCATTGAATGAGCAGCACCTAGCAAAGCGCTTGGCTTTTGCTATTTCACATATAAACAATTTGAAAAAATAGGCAATTCTCTGGCTCACTACCCATATTCAAAGTGCTTATTTTTATTCTTAAAAAAATAAAAATTTTGTAAGAATGAAGAAATGAATATATCATTTAAGGGATCAGGAACCGGAGGCCAAAAGACTAAGAAGTTGTTGGAATAACTTATGAGAACTTTCTCATGAGTACTTCTAAGTACCTAAACTAAGTACCTCATTTTAAAAAGTGGTCTGAGTAGCCAGGCATGGTGGCACGCACGCCTGTAATCCCAGCTACTAGGGAGGCTGAGGCAGGAGAATCGCTTGAACCCAGGAGGACGAGGTTGCAGTGAGCCGAGATCGCGCCACTGCACTCCAGTCTGGACGACAAAGCGAGACTCAGTCAAAAAAAAAAAAAAAAAAAAAAAAAAAAAAAAAAAGGGTGGTCTGAGGGCTGGGGAAGAAGAGCCAGATTCGAGAGAGCTAATTAGGTTGAATTGAAGGCCTGATGGGAAGGGAATCAGAGGTAAAAGAAAAAGGAGATTCTTTGGTCTTGGTAGCTAGTCTTCGGTTTTGGTATCTTATTAAAAATTTGAATTGTTGGAGGAAATTCAAGTTTGAGGAAAAGAATGGAACATTCCTTTGGGGATGCATCGCTTTTGAGATGCTCATGGACATGCAAGAAAAAAAAAAAAAAAAAGATAGCTGTATATTCTGGAGCCCAGAGGAGAGAGGTCTGGAGTAGAGAAGATTTTCAGTCCATCCGCACATGAGCAGTAGTTCATCAATCATTCCTTACCCTTCTTCTGTTCGTAGAGTTCGGCCATTGATGAAATACAGAATCCCTGACTTGCTCACTAATACTCACACATACACGCATAGTATTGTGGTAATGGTAGTGTAGTTTTAGAAACTGGGGTTCTGCTCTTCCTTTGGAAGTCCTCTTTGAATATAATTTCAAACTATTCACAGAATACCAGAAGCAGTTGTTCTTCCCCTTGTGAGAGAAGGCCCCATAAACGAAAGAGGATTTGACCCACAAAAATGTTTTTTGCTTTCTAGTTTCATTCAGAAATGTTCTTCCAGCTGGTTAAAATGTTCTGAGTTTCATGAAAAGACAGAAGATAGGCTTCACTGTAGAACATTTTGATGAATCTAGATTCTGGGATTTTACAATGGTAGTTACAATTGCACTGACGTTTGTTGAGCCATTAGTATATCGCAGGCACTGGACTTTGTCAGAAAATACAGGGGATCCTCTATGGAACATCTTTGTTATTTATTGAGGATAATTTTCTTTCTTTTTATTTATTTATTTATTTTTATTTTTTTTACCCCCGAGACGGAGTCTTGCTCTGTCGCCTTGGCTGGAGTGCAGTGGCGCGATCTTGGCTCACTGTAACCTCTGCCTCCTGGGTTCAAGCGATTCTCCTGCCT